TAGCTACTGTTTATTGAATGCTGATTGTGTGCTAATTTTATATTATACATTTAATATACCTTATTGAATTCTACTGCAAGGATTAAGGTTGTGTTGGTAATTATTATTCTGGTCTCACATGTATTCTCCCCCATTTTCTGGTCTTCTCTGTATCCCAAGAGACTGACTTCTAAAAACTAAGTTTCCCAGGCTCCCTTGACATCTGACTTCCTGTTAGGTTGTGTTATTGGGAAACGTTTGTGTGACATTGAGATTGTAGACAAGAGAAAGGCACTTGTGGCCTGTGATAGTCTTGAGTTCTCAAGGACTCAAGTTTCTGTAGCTGAGCCCTTTCTTTTTCTGATACAACCTTTGGGTGAGGAGTGACTTTCCAGTGTTATAAATCTCTGAGTTGTCCACTATTCCCAGTTTGGCTTTTTGATAATTTTGACACCTTTGTAACTAGTTTCTGATATTAAATTCCTTTATTACCCATTGTGAGCTCTATATTCCTGTCTGGACATTGAAAAGAAAGATGCTGTCTTCATTTTTATATGTTTAAGTTACTTGTACAAAATTAAAAACTAATTTTAAAAGAGGCTTTCACACTTATGCCTAATTTCAAAGCCCATTTTTAAATGATTCTGCTGCCTACAAATGACAGCCCAAATGAATAGTTTTCATTAGTCTCCTCTTTCTACTACTTAGCTCAAATTGTCTGTATTATGGCAGTAACTAGCTATTATCATCATTTAATTATCTCTCCCAATAGCTTATGAGAATTCTTAAGAGCAAGCACATGGAATTCATCTTTGTATCCCTAGCGCCTACTGCTGTGTTTGGAATGTAGTAGGGCTTAATAAATATTTGTGGAGTGAATGAATAATAATCACTATCATTGATGGAGTGACTGTTTTATTTTAGCACCACAGTAGGGAGCTGATGTGAATTTTATAACTCGATCTCCATGACAGTATTGTAAGGTAGACATAAACATTCTAAAATCACAAATAAAAGAAATAGGCTGAAGGAGTTTATAAACAACTCACTGCTAATCAGGGATTAAACTCAGGTCAACTGAATTCCAATGTCTGACATTCCGACTCTAGCTAGCTACCTCATTATATTCACTAATGTTAATGAAAAAAATACATAAATAAATGGATTAGGAAAAAGTCTAAGCATTTTATTTATTTTTGGATCTTTAGAAACATAGAAATCTTTATAAGAAAAAGTGCAGTATTTACTTGCAGAAAATTAAATGGAAATATTTTTGTATCTAAAATTTTGTGCAGATAACAAGAAGAGAAGATTTGATATCATAATCTGAAGAAATTAAACAGTTCCTGTCTCTTTCAGAGAAAAACCAGAGATGACAATAGTTAAAATGGTAAAGACAGATTTTGTTTGGGAACTATTGTAATAACAGAAGAGCAACTTTCATATAGAACTTGTTCCAATTCTGAATACAGCACAGAGCAGTGAGACTTTATAGGCAAGGAGAAGAGTGAGGGTCAGTGGATGGAAAATTACAAAAAGGAAATATAAAGGTATGGGGGGTGCAGATTCTGGTTAAATCAAACCACAGAATTCTTGCTGAAGTAAGGTCAGAGTGATCAGATGTCACCTGGGATGAAGAATTTGATCAGATTTTCAGATAATCAGGTATCAAGTGTGAGGGATTCTCTAAACTGGCTTTAAGATTCTTGCTCTAACTAGAAAATGCAAGGTTGAACAGCATGTAGAGGATTTAAAGGAGTCTGAGTACACTTAGGCCGAAGAGGGTGTTTTGTTATCACAGGGTGGGAAACTGGTTATTTCCATAATTATCTAATCATTCTCTAGAATTGCTAGGTATGGGATATGACATTAATGTTATTCACAACCATTTCTGTTACAGACAGAATTTGGGTTTTAGCTTGATTTCTCTGTTTCATGTTCTATGAATAGGTGTTTTTACTGCTTAATTGATTGCTGATGAAGAATTCTGCTTGTGTTCCAGACTTTGTTTTGCATGGTGAGATCATCTGTATGGATAATATTCTAATGCTAAGTTCAGTTTCTTACTTAGTTTTTCCTAGAGCTGTGCATTATTGGTTCCTCCTCTGAATATAGAAAATAAAATATTATCTACATTTCTGAGGCTGATAGGCAGAAGCCGTCATTTTCCTCTTTAATTTCTGATGAAAATGAACAAATAGAAGTAAAATAATTTGCTAGGCCTCATACAAAAAGTCATTGTTGATTCTACACGTACTTCCTTGGCATGCGCTTGCTTGGTTTGGTATTGGTTGAAATTGTTTCAACTGGATACCACCCAAGAGGCTTTTCTCAGAGAGCTAGAAGCTATTTGAAGATCCTGGAAATATGAGCTTTTCATAAGGTTTTTGCTGGTGTGATTCTCTTTTTTTTCCCAGAGAAAGGATCATCTCCTAAGCCTTCTTCATGTATGTACTTTGCCATGATAAAGACTTTATTTCTTTAATTCAGTAGTAAAGAATAAGATGAAATTAAATGCATGTATTTCCCCAGCTGGTTTCTAATATTATAAACTATGTCAATATAGAGCATAAATGAGCTGTATTCATTTTTAAAAAATGTATTCTCTTATTATTGAGAAATTTCATTAGGGGTTGGCAATCAAAGGGTGTCAAAAATCCCAGAGTGTTGCTGTTCATTGGGATTAGAGTCAGTCATACAAGATAGAAAAAGTTCCAGAGAGTGGCTGTTTAACAATTCATATACACATAGTCAACAATTCTGTACTGTGTCTTTAAAATTTTGTAAGAGAGCACATTTTCTGTTTTGTGTGTGTCTGTGTATGTGTGCATGTATGTTTGTGTAACTACAGTACAACAAACAAAACAAAAAACTTAAAGTTGTAACTGGCTACCAGAAGAAATTCAAGCACATTTGCTTGAGGGGGTATTACCTGTTCCATTACTTGGTTCTATTACTTGTTTCCATTTGTATGCTGAAGAGTTAGAGAAATAAAATGATTATCCACTTAATTAAACTTCAGCAAGTTGTTTTTGTTAACAGTGATGATTGATGAGGATTTGTCAGTGATACTCTGTGATCTTGGGAGCAGAAGTCACCATGTAAACAACACTGTGCTAACAAAAGGGGCCTATTCACATGGCTGGATCTTGCTCTACATGCCTTCCTGATTTAGGGTCAAAGTGCTCAATGGTGCCTGTGACATTAAGTATTGGATTTCATGAATTCTGGGTTGAATAAATGAAATAGATTTTGTTCATTTATTTTCCTCCAGGAAAACATTTAAAATGTATTCGAAAGGATGAAATGTTTTCATGATACAAGCTGGAAAATTAGAGAAAGTTTAGGGTTAATTTATTTACATTGAATTATTTCCATGTGTTTAACCTTATTACCTCTTATACCAGTCCAATTATTCACAAAACTTTTCTCAATACCATAAAAGCATTTTAAAACAAGTCTTCAAGGTATGGTGACAAAACCTGTTCTAGATGGTAAGGTAGTAACATAATTTATGAAAGGAATTACAAAATTCCCTATGTGAGGATTTTCTGGGCACCAAATCCAGCTTCTGTGCCCCCTAGCTACAATATGAAAAATAGACATTTAGAATAGTCATGGCTTTAGCCATTTAAAAAAGAGAAGACAACTTTGACATGGAAAAGGAATAAATTCTCTCATTGTTTGATAGAGTGACTAAATTGGGTTCAAATATTGTCAAGAAGGGATAGAAGGCAAAAAATCAGGGAAGAGAGATTAGATTCTAAATGCACAAGAAGAGATGGGGAAAGTTGACAGGCTTCTGATTAAACCATTTTTGGTATATGATTGAATCACATCAGTTTCTACTCTGATGAAAATTATCCCTTTCTATCAGTTTTTTTCAATACCAGTGTTGCATTACATTAAGGTAATGCAAACTTTGAAGTTTTTTTGTGATTTTGAAATTTCAGCATGGTTTCATTTTTATGACCTAGAGAATTTTTATAATTTTCATCTATAACCTATGTTTGTTTTATTTTACCATTTCCAAACCAAACAAGCTGTAATACATCATACACTGATTTTATTTCACTGTTTTATTTAAATTTTATTTTCCTAATAAAAGTATAAGTTCCTAGGGATCTGGGTCCAAGTGCCTTCCCCAAAGACTTAGACTTCTCCAACTAGTTTATGTTCTCCATAGGACATCTTTCCTGTCTTGTTCACTGCTAAGTTCCAGTGCTTTAATCTGGAGGGTATGAGAAGAGAGAGCTAAGCTTGTACATAATTGCTTAGTGGTGATTGTTTTAATGTGTATATTTGGGATTCAGCAAATTTAGAGAGGGACAGCACTTGTTAAAGTTAGTACCATTCAGAATCACTGATTAGATGAATATCATTTAAAGGATATTTAATATATTAATGCTGGGGATACTGTTAAGATATTGTACTTGTATCTTGAAAACAATTGCTAGAATAAATATTATCAAAGTAAAATATTTTCCTTTTGGTGCAAAATATTGTCCTTCTTTCTAGACACCAAATAAATAAAATCTTTGAGAAGAAGTTATTACAAACTAATAGAATTTAAGTCCTCTTCCTTTATTACATATAAAAATATATGCCTAGCTGGTGGTGATGGTGCATGCCTGTAAACCCAGCTACTCTGCAGGCTCAGGCAGCAAAATCATAAAGGCAAGGCCAACCCAGGCAGGTTAGGGAGATCTTGTCTCAAAATAAGAAATAAAAAGGGCTGAGGATGTAGCTATGTGGTAGAGTACCCCTGGATTCAATCCCTAGTCCTGAAAAACAATCTGTGCCTATATATTATGTATACATGTAGATATCTATTACATATATATCATATGTATAATGTTATTCATATGTATATCTCTCACACACACACCCTTCCATTTATTTTTCATCTCTATTATACTTTACATCTTCAATTGGAATTGTAGGTTTCTTTCTCAGATTGTAGAATTATTTGTTATTTTTACTGAGGCTATTTCTATGATTAAAATTCCTTGTCTCCCCAGGTTTCTGTGAATCAACAGTGCCCCAAAAAGCATTTCTCTTCCTGAGACGCCAGGGAGGTCTTGAAATGCAAAGAACTTGAGGAGGAAGCCTGGCCAAGTAAAGATTGTGAGCCTTTGTGTGCTTGCTGAAGCAGATTTTTGGCACTAAACAAACCAAAGTGTTTGTATTATTAAAAGCAGCACTTTTCAAGTGAGTCCAGGGAGATCACTTTGGTCTGTTTGTTTTGGCTAAAGAAGAGAAAAGCTATAATTTAACCACATAGTCATTATTTGCAAGGGGATGATAATGAATTATGCAAATAAAGAGTGATTATGGTTAAAGTAATTTTTTCAATAGAAATTTAAAACTGTATCTTCTCTAATCCCATTATTTACTAGATCTGAATCAAAAACTTCCTAGATATTTGTTTAATACAGTAGATTCCATATATGTTGTTCAAATTCAATGCTTTTTCAAAAGAATGATGATATGATTTTGTCAGTAATTTAATAGGTTTCTGTTTTCTTATAAAGATAGAACTAAGACATATCAAGATAAAACATAAATATCTTGGAATAATCAGAAGAGCAACATGGGAGAAACTGAGAAAAGGATTGAAACCCACAGAATAAAATGTCTTTCCAAAGTGAAGGTATGGATGTTTTTGGCATACATACATGTATATATACATATACATATATGTGTATATATGTATATATATATATATATATATATATACACATACATATATATATATATATGTAAAGTGTTTTTCTTAAACTTAGTCCTTGTAAAACTGCTTATATCTACATGAGATGATCTAACATTAATGTCATATTGCGTTATCTATTGATAATTTCTTGCTTTAAAGAAGCTGGTTTTGTAACCAAGAGTATGTCTAAATAAAATTACTGATATTGGCAATTTAATCAGGAATGATTTTGAGGGACTTAAATAAATAAGGACAGGATTTTAAAAACTTTGAGGCACACATTATATTTTTCCAGGAATTATTTTCTGGAATAAGACACGAATACTAATATAATGCTCACCTTTCAGGGGTTTCTCTCCCAGAGAAGTATGTGGGGTTAGTATTAGAAAATAGTTCATTGGACAGAAATGCTTTGTTAGTATGCTAAGATTACTTCACAATGACCCAGTAAAACAAATGTTTTCTTCAAGCTTTGGCATTATAACAATCATTGTCTACAAGAAAAATACTGGTTTTGTTAGTTGTTCTGATGGTTTTGACTATTTTAGAGCAAATTCTTTCTTTTAAGCTCCAAAGTGTCTTATATTCATTATATTTATTTTCAACCTGGGGATTTGAGCATTTGTCTTAATTCCACAGCTAGTGCCTGTTGAGAGTGGTTTCCTAAGAAACTGGCACTCATTTTCCTATCAAAAGCTCATTTTCCCATTACACATGTGTGGGTCAAATCTGTGTATGTACACAACAGTGGAAAGTTATGATATAGATCTAGAAAACTACTTTTGCCTGAAATGCCATGTTAACTATAAAAAATCCTCTTAAATTATTCTTCAATTCTCATGATCTTCTGTAATTGCCTAGTTAAAAATAAGAATCTAAGTCTGAATTCTCTAGGTTCCTATCTGTGTCCAGATACTATTTTCTGTATAACATTGTGTGACTTATTTAACCTCTTTGTGCTTAATTTTTCACATCTGAAAAGTATAATAACAATCATCCTATTTTGTAGGAGTTTTTTTAGATGCTAGGAAAAATTATGAATATTTCAAATATTTATTATTACTAGCATTTGTGTAGAAAAGTTGTCAGGCATATTTATAAACAATAGGTCTTAAATTTTATTTTTTATTACTTTGGAGTTTAGCAAGATTATATACTGATGTGAATGTTATGGCAAAATATTGCAACCACAAGTTTAGCAAGTAAAAATGAGAGGCAACTTCTTAATAATCCATTGGACTTCTCTACTTTTTTGAATTTTGAAATATTTTCATTAAGCAAAATTCTTTAGGAAGCATCAGAGGACTGTCTTTAACAAATTTGCTTCAAACTTTAGAACATAATTGTTAAAAGTTAGTAGGAATATATATATATATATGAACTAGCTGTGTATACAGGTTAACATTAGACTTAGAATGCCACTACTACTGGCTTATTTCACTCTGTGAATAGAATCAATTTAGTGAATTCATTTAATAGTTTTGAGGAAAGAACACTGGGATCATGATCCTTCTAGTTTTCTTTCTTAAAATGGTAAGTAGAAAAAAATATTTTCCCAAGTCAGATTTGTACTTGATTTGGTAAAACCTTGATTTTATATATGAGACCTGAATTATAAAGTCATGTGAAAGTTGTATAGTCTCAGTAATATGATCTGCAAAGGCTTATAGTGAGAAGAGAGAAGTTCCATGAATGATATTTAATATTAAAACTTAAATAGCTGGAGACATAGCTACAGTATTTTGCAGCTATATAATAGTTGCAGTTTATGCTATGCTTGATATTAAAATTTCCCAGGTCTTTTTCATAAAAATTTCTATTCAGATTTCAGTAGACTAATGGGTACAGATAACCTTTGGCTTAGGTGTATGCTGTGATCTGAATGTCTGTGATCCTTAAATTCATATGCTGAGATCCCACCCCCAAGGTGATAATGCTAAGAAGTAAGGCCTTCAGAAGATAATTAAGTCACAGGGGTGGAACCCTAATGAGTGAAATCAGGCCACTTTTAAAAGAGAACTTCAAGGGACCTCTTGTTCCTTCTACCATGTAAAGACATAATGAAAAGACAGCTGTCCTTCAATCAGTAAGTGGGTTTACCAGACATCAGACTTTCAAGTGCCTTGATCTTGGAATTCCTAGCCTCTGTATTTCTGTGAGAAATAAAGTTTTAGAGTTCATAAGCCACCCAGTTTATGGTATTTTGTTATTACACCTGAAATGGATTAAGACAATGTGTTTGACTCCATTAGATTTCGTTTTATTTTTAGTTCATACTGACTGTTTATTCAGGTTGTTTTTGATCTGTCATTAATTCAATAAACATGTCTTAGGTGCTTACACTAGCCACTTACTAGGCATAAATTACACAAAAGCAAGTAAAATGTGGCTCTTATTTCTGAATTATTCACAGTACAATGAGGGAAGAATCCAAACACATAGATAAAATGGACTGTGATAGGGGCTGTAATAGAGGTAGGCATACAATTGGAGCACTGGGAATAATATTTCTTGGGAGAACATGCATGGCAGAAAGAGTAGAAAATACAAACTAAAGTTTGAATGTGTTAGCCAAAGAGAAAACCAAGTAGATAGAGTCTATCAGGTAAGCAGAGATTTAGGTATGTGTGGGAGGAGGGAATTTGTGGAAGAAAAGAGAGATTAATGGTAACAAATAATTTGGAGACATCAAATAAGCCAATGATTGGCTATCCAATTGTCTATTGGATTTGGAACTTAGGAAGTTGTTTCTGATTTTTTAATGTAATACCTTCAGAATACGCCAGACTATATAGCAGACTGAAAGCTGAATGAAGGATAAATAATGTATGCAATGAATATATATTATTCTTCTAAACATCTACCATCAGGCATGAGGGAATATATTGTTTTCAAAAGACACAGAAGTATCTTGAATGCATTATTAAGTTACAGGGGGGAGAGAGGCAGTAAGAAGTGAGAGGAGAGGGAGCGATAATTGATGACTCATTTCAGAAATGGGAAAAATACACTTAAGAGCATGGATGAAGGGATGTTATTTTATAGGAGAAAGAATACTTATTCTAGAACTAGATGAAAATTATAAGGGATAGGGATAGAGCTAACTTTTCCATTGAAGTTGCTGATAATCATTTTCTGCTCATTGAAGAGTACGTGACTGGGTTAGAGACTGAAAAAAAGAATAAAGTTGTAAGTAATTTTGAAGGGAATGCATGAGACAGCCCACAAACTATGGGTCGGCTCAAGATTGGGTGTGTGGAGTAAGGATTTTAGGTATTTGGAAATGATGGCTAAAATAGGTTAAAATGAAGTCTGAGATGGAAATATCATCAGGAAGTAACTTTCAATATGGGCAAGGAAAAAGTCTTATGGCATGTGACTGGAAACCACCATTCAGACTGACATAAATATTCCATATTCTGTTGATTCTGATGCAGGAATTAATCTTCCTAACTGTACTAGTACCCAATATGCTTCTGTTTTCAAATCCTTGCTAAAAGATGTCTTTTTTTAATTTAATAAACCTATCAGAAATTTAGTTTTTTACATTTTAAATAAAATTGTACTAGCTCTGTTGATCACAGTGGTTCTAATTTTGAAGTTTTCCTTGATGTTATATGAAAGGCATCAACCCTCCTCCCTACCTCTCTAGGCACGGGGACACATGCCTGTAATCCCAGTAATTAGTGAGGCTGAGGCAGGAAGATGGCAGGTTTGAGGCCAGCCTGGGCAACTTGGTGAGACACTGTCTGAAAATAAGGTAGAAAAGGGCTGGAAATATAGCTCAGTGGTAGAGCACTTCCCTAGTGTGTGTGAGGCCTTGGGTTTGATCCCCAATACTGAAAAGCAAAAAGGCATCAACATCACTGCTTTTTGGAACTAATTATGTAGCAGATATGATTGATTCAGATGTAGAAATTTGTAGTATGCATGTTTATTTATCATAATAAGAACCTGTTCAATTTAAAGACATATTTACATATAGTTTGTAATGAAAATATTACTTTGTAAATTTAGTACCAGTAAGTAGAAATCTGACATCATATAATCTGCATGTTACTTTGAATAAGAGACTACAAAAGTTCCTAAATCTGACAGGAGGTTTTGCATAAACCCAGCTGTTGGAGTTATGAGTTGCTGAGAAGAACACTCATACAACACATCAGGAAAAATTAATTTATTTCTCACAGGCAGGTAGTAAAGATAAACAGAAGCCTGGGATCTGTAGTGAGTTGGTCCCTCAACACCCAGAAAACCACCCAGAGAAGATGGAGTCTCATCTCTGCATAGGCCTACCTTTTTTCCACAGCTGAGGGACCCCAAAAGTGCTTGACCTTGGGTTTATATATCACGGGCAACATTTTGTTTGCTGAGCTCAAATATTATAGAACATCCTGTGCTGGGGAAAATGAAGGCATACTTTAGATTGTCCTGGACATTTCCTATTTACTGAGATTGCAATAATTCTGCCCAGAAATTTCAAGCAAGAGAGGAGGAAGAGCTGGATTGGTCAAGGTCATCTGGGAACTTGTCCTCCTGCAGAGAGAACTTGAACAGATTTGCTACATCAACAGTGTCTTTGTTTGATTCTGTATTCCTTATTTTCATAAAATATATGTATTCATTTGTACCATAGATAGCATTGTAGTGCTTAAGATGTTTGAATCAACCACTGTGTGTTAGAATAACTAGTTGTTTCTCTGTATGTATAAGGTATGCCTATAAAATAATGAGACTATAACTACCTACAAAATTCAGTGTCGTTAGTCATTTAGTCCCACTTTGAATTTTTAGAGAGAAAACATGTCATGACAGACCAGAAGAACAGACCAGATTTTAAAGTTTCTTGCAAGCTCACGGGTTACTTAAGTTGGAGATAATCTAATAGCAGAGGACTTTTTCCCAATAGATGATGAAAATATAATTTAATAATAAAGTTTTCTTATTTGTTTCTTTCTAGATGTTTTTGTTGGCATTAACTTGTGCATATGTATCCAAAACACTATCTGGATCTTATATGAATTCCATGCTCACACAAATAGAGAGACAATTCAATATCCCGACATCTCTGGTTGGATTTATTAATGGGAGCTTTGAAATTGGTAATGAATTATTTTTGCATTACTTGTGTTTATATTTTGTTTTATCTATTAGCTGTTCTGAATTTTATTCTCTTTATTTACTGTTTTAAGCCATTTAATCTAACTGAATTACATGTTTTCTAAAACTGATTGAATAGCCTGGCTAAACTTATGATATGCTTACAAACAATCCATTTAAATATTACCTCAAATTAATACCTAAATATTGCCACATATCGCACCACTATCTTTTTTATACTAATAGTTTCTTGGCTATCTGGCATGAGTAACAGAGTATTTATATTTAAATCTATCATTTGACAGCCCTGAGTGAAACAAGGTTGTCATCTTTGAATTTAGCATGTATTGTGGGAGACCAAAGGAATTTGTTTTTCAAAGGAAAACACAAATATTTTTCTTTTCCTTTTATGCCAGGGAGGTTGACAATTCTCCTTTCTATGTTCAGAAAGAAGAAGAAACTAGTTTCCTGTCTCTCTCTGAATTTATTTTAGAAACATCCCATGGGGAAGAATGAAGTTTACTTTTAGGTTCTAATTTTTGGAGTAACTGGGAATTTGTGAGAACAAAGATGAGGGAGGAAAAGATTTCTGTAAACAATGCTACATAGAAATAGTGATGCTACTCCTTTGCAGTTTTATAATAGCTTCTACTTCTTTCAAGATAAAAATTGCCTTTTATAGATTTAACCAAAATGTGAAGAAAAACCAGGGTTGAGGAGAAGCAAAACTGAAACCTGGGATGACTGATCAGATCTTACTCTGATTCTCCTGTGTCCTGGCAATAAAGTTAGAACTACCTCAGATCTTACTCTGACTCTCCTAACTCCTGGAAATAGAGTTAGAACTAACTCCTGCATAGATTTCTGGCATAGACTCCTTGCATAGACTCAGCTCACAGGCTAGTGGAGGGCATAGGTGCAAAATAATAATTTTGAATCCAATAAATATTGTTCATAAATGCATGCACGATCCTATAGAAACAGGAAAGGGGACACAGCCTCATTTGGGAAAGACAGGCTTTTGAAAGATGAGTAAAAGTTTTCCAGGTGAAGAAATGGTATTAGGTAAATGTGAAGGGAGTTCCAATAGAAGCAGCAGCACAAGGGTGAAACAACACAGTAGCTTGTGTGGGGAGAAATCTTCAGCCCTGTATTGTTGGGTAGTCAAGCTTGAGGTGGAAATTGTTAGGATGTGAACCTGGAGAAGTAGGTAGGGTGTATAAGGGTAAGAAATGGGCAGAGACTTGTGGAATTGTTATGGAGTATATTTTTTAGTCTCGGGGTGAGGGAGAGAGTCAATAAAGATCGGAAAGGGTGTTGTTGGTCTTCTTCTGTGCTAAGCACCTCTTTGGTAATCTGTTGCCGTATGACCTCAGAATAATGTAATTTCATAAAACAAAAAACTATAGCAGTAGAAAGGAAGCCAAATATATTGAAATAGCATTATATCAAAATATAAAAATAGCTTTTTAAATAATGGTCCTGGATTTTAACACATTAAACAAGATCTAGCACTAATTTTCAACTAATTATTGGTGTTAATAATATTTGAGTATCTGCAACAACTGTAATTACATGCAAATATCTATATTTCTGTTGGTGACAAAATCATAAGAATTGTTAATGCTATTTTATTTTATTGCCTACTTTTTACCATCAATGGAAAAGCTAATAGAGATTAGTGAAAATAAAGATGCAACTTTTTTTCTCACTCAAGTTCATGTCATCTGTGATTTCTACCCATGACTAAGAATCCCTGTTTAAAGCCATGTCGGATTCACATTTTAGAAGGGCAATGCTTATGACTGTGTTGAGATAGATTTGAAGGTAGAAAACCAGATAGAGAATAGGGTCCAGGAGGCTGATGCTGAAGCCAACGGAAAAGTATCTGGGTCTGAGCCAGGATCATACTTATAGGAATGAAGAGAAGAGAGTGACTTAAAATAATCTTGGAGTTAAATTCCAGAGAACCTGATGACATATAAGAGGCAGGTAAGGGCAAGGGCTTCCCAACTTGGACAGTGGCAAGGATAGTAGTGTCAAGGCTGAGAATACAGGAAGAGGAGCAAGATAATGGTAGTGGCTGTGGAGATGATGATGAGCTTTATTTAGGTGATTTTTTCATGATGGTATCTGTGAGACCTTTGGGTAGTGATCTTTACATTGCAGTTACAAGTCTAAAGCACGGGGAAACTACCTGGGCTGGAGCTATTGAATAGTGAGTAAGTAGGAGTTTGTTAAGAGTAGAGAGTAGATGAGTCTATTCAGGGAGAGGATGTAAGATAAGTACAATGGACAGGGGTTAGAAATATGGTTCAGTGATAGAATGCTTGTCTGGCATGCAGGAATCCCTGGTTCCATCTCCAGCACTGCAAAGTGAAACAAACAAATGAGTAAGTACAATGGATAAAGAGTGGATCCTGGAATTGTACCAATGTTTAAGCCAGAGATGGGAGAAAAAGAACCCATGAAAGTGTTAAGAGAAAGAATGGTAGGAGAAAGACAAGACAGAATGGTACTATACATGCCAAGTGAGTAAAAATTTCCAGAAGAAACAATGTATTTCAATTTCATGTGAAAGGATGTGTCAACAGTGTTAAAAACATTAGAAATATTCAATTAGATAAGGATGGAGAACTGTTTCCACGGTTTCATAGTGTTGAAGTAATCAATGACATGTGCCAAGTACTTTTAATTGAATAGTAGATTTAGAAGAAAAAAGTAGGGCTGGGGATGTGGCTCAGTGGTAAAAAGTGCTTGCCTAGTACATGTGAGACCCTGAGTTCAATCTCTTAACGTGGGAAAAAAAAAGAAAAGATAAAAAAAGAAGAATAGAAGCTTAAAAGTAGTGGAGACAGCAGTGACTTCAGGAAAGAATGGGAGGTGGGGGGACATGGAATCTGCAAGTATAGATGAATGTTCTTGGAAGTTTAGAGAGAAACTAGTTAAGACATCTGTAGACTAAAGTTTAGTGAGAGTGAGAGGTTTAAAATATGTGAGGGAGATTTTAATTGTTGGTTTGAATTGCTGGAGAAAATGGATGTTGTTCTTGGACTTGAATGGTCAGATGGGCACCAATACCTCTGAAACTGAAGGAAGGCAGTAAGGCCCCAGGGTGGGAAAACCATATACCATAATATTTCATTGCCCTAAATTTCTTAACAAAGTATAAAATATTAACTACTCCTACCACTAGTGGATGTAATAGGTGACTTGAGAATGTTGAAGACCCAAAATAAATTGCTGAGGGAGAAAAACAGAAGTAAGTTACGTGACTTCACTTGAATTCCTCAATGGTTATTATTATAAGCACCTTCTCCATAGCCTTGTCCACACTTCTCTGGTCCTATGTCCTTATGGCAATGATTTTACTGACAGAGCAAGGCCATGTGAAAGATGAATTCAAACTTATGTATGGAAGGAAAGCTCTTCCTTTCTTCATTTACAAAAACATACAGATTTCAGTGAGCTTCCATAGACATTACCTTCAACAAGGATAGAATTAGTACTGGGAATTTTACAGATGTGGAGAGGCCAATGTGGTTATAGATGTGGGGCACTTTCCATGTAAAATAATGTAAACACTACTTCTGTTCTATATGTAATGCAGACTAGAGAGAAACAGAGATTGAAAGAAAAGCCTTCAAAGTATTCAACACTACTTAGAAAATTAACTCCTTGAGGAAAAGATTTTTTGAAATTTTTATAATCCTTAAACTTATCATAGAGGTTTCCTTTACACATAGTGGAATCAGGGTAAATATTGTTTATTGAATTAAAAATGCATGGTTGTCAGGAACCTACTTACATTTTGGTTCTTTCAGCTTTTATCTCCATACCTGTTTTGTGGAACAGGCATGGAAGGAGAGGCCAGAGGTCACACACAAGCTGTTATCTACTTTTGTGTCCTATTTCCCAAGGTTGGATAATCACAGAGGTTTAAAATTCCCCAAAATTATTGTTCAGTATCTTTCATTAGCTTCCTTTCCTCTGCCCTCTTTAATGGTGATGTTCCACAGAGATCTGTTTATGTATCTGTCTTAATTGTGAAACAGAATCCTCCTTTAGGACAGAAGTTTTGTCTTACTTATTTAAAGGTTTTATGCATCCTGAGTATCAATCCCAGTACTTGTGATGGCTGTTATATAGTAAATACTATTGTATAAATGACTGGGTGAAGCTGTTTAGATTTTGTTAATACCTACTGAAATAAGCATTCTCAATTTTTTTCCCCTAGGAAATCTTTTGTTGATTATATTTGTGAGTTATTTTGGAACTAAACTACATAGACCTATAATGATTGGTGTTGGATGTGTGGTTATGGGATTAGGGTGTTTCTTAATATCGCTACCTCATTTCCTCATGAACCGGTAAGTAGTCCAGTCTTTGATGATATTTTAGGTTTGTTTTTTATTTGCAAGAACTGAGGCTTGTAATTCCCCTTCTGGGAGTGATGCTTCCTAAAGAACACAATAGTGAAGTAGGAGCTGGAAGAAATGAATTCTGTCTTGTGCCCTTGGATGCCTCACTTCCACTCACACAGTTACACCTTGTCAATTCGTGAAACAGAGATTTGGGACACTTCTTTCATGAGATTGAATCCGATGAAAAAATACTTAGGACCTGCCAGAATTTGGGAATTACTCCTTTCTCAGGACTATTTAGACACTTCTGATTGCAATAAGGTTCTGTTTAATTGTAGGTCACAAAGACAGCAGTCTGAATGTTGATTTTTATTTTAATTTTTACCAAAATAATTTATGTATAAGATTGTAAAAATAAAATTATATTGAAAGAGTTGTCCCCTACCCCTGATTTTTGCTTTCCAAGGGCAACCGCTTGTAACCTTGTAACTGCCTTAGCTCTTTTAGGGGTTTGCCTCTGTATTTTGTTAGTTTTTAATACCTCATTGTACTGGATGTATTTTGAATTCCTACTATAAAATCATATGCAGTATTTACATTTGTATTATTTGAAAACACTTTTCACCACTGAATCATGTTGTTTTTTTCTGTTATATAACTTTTATTTTTCCTGAATTATAATAATTGACTTTTTCTTTTGATTAGCTTTCTTTGTATCTCTCATTAATTCCTCACCATTTGGTAGAGCAGTTGCCCTCTCAGTGCAGTCAGAGAGGTTTCAGGGGGTAATTTAGTAACTTTCTGAGAAAGTATTTAAAAATAATATTTAAAACCTTGTTCATCTGAATATATTCTTATTTTACTTCCACATTTGATTTATAGTTTGGAAACCATTCCAAAGTGTTGTTTTTATTTTTTCTTTTCAGTGTTATTATTATTGAGAATACTATGCAATTCTAATCTATGTGACCAGTTTCTTTTCTCTGGGAAATATTGAGATTTTTCTTTTAAACTCTAGAGTCAGAAATTCATAATTATTTTGGCATAAGTTCTTTTCCTCCTCTGTGCTAGGTGCTTTCAGTGGACATTTGGGGAAATTACTTGTATTTTTTCCCTTAGATAATATCTCTCTCCCCATACCCCTCTTTTTTCTCTTTCTACAACTTCTATTATTTGAATATTGGATATCCTGGATTAAACTTATGTTTTTCTCATCTTCTTTCTCTAATTTTATGGTGTATCTCCTTCTACTTTCTGGGAGATGAGTCTTCCAAACCTTTGGATGGGTTTCTAATTTATACTATCATATTTTTTTCATTTTCAAGGACTCCTTTGTTTTTTGAATATCTCTTTTTGAGGAACATTTTATTCTTTCAAGAAGGCAATATCTTTTCCCATCTAAATTTTCTTCATCTGTCTTTGTTGTCTCTGGCTCCTCCAAGTGTAGTTTTTGTTTGTCTCTGTCTTTACCACTGTAGTGTCCCTCATGTATCTTGTTCTTGGTTATTCATATTTAAGAGAGGAATAACAGCAACAATAAGCTAATTAGAAATTCCATGTTTGTCCTGATTAATGGAGGACTTTTTCATAGGGTAAGGACTGGTTGTTTTCAGATGGCTCAGAACTGGGCATCACCTGTTAATTAATTATCCTAGGCAAGGATTCTACTTTCTGTTGCTTGGGAGGTAGAAGCTTGGCTACCAGATGGTAGGAATGGTAACCTCATTTTTTAGTATGCAGTTTTTCTATTTTATTGAATACTCAGTTTTTCGCATGGCCTTCCTGTCCTCAGTATGCCTGTTTAGACTTTAGACTCAATGGACATTTTCAGTGTGCGAGGCAGGGGATGTCTTTGTAGGTCTAACTCATTTTTATGTACACTTTAAAACAAAGTGTGTAAATCATTTGAAATTTGGGTCATGCACACTTACATTTTTAGGTATCTTGCCTGAAACTTTCTAGAGATGTACAGCATGTGTTTAAGTGCTCCCCTGTAGACACTTATGACAATATTTTTCATTCTCCCACTCAGTCATGGTTGACATACCTGCTTTCCTACTTTCCACATTTCTTCAAACTCCGCCTTATTCTCAGATCTCCCAGTCTTTTTATCCTTGTTGAATTGTGCCTTTTTGTTTTTCATTTTAAAATCCTTTTATTGCTATTTGGTTGGTGTTTATGAATAAATGGACTTTGAATAAGAGACTAAATTTTAAGTATATAAATTAAATCAACAAATTATTTTATTTTATCTTCTCGGGTATTTTTGAAGGGATCAAATGTTTTCAGGCAAAGAGTTTTTACTGCTCTTTTATTTTCTATCTTATCTAAGGTAATATCAAGTAATATTCAGCTGTTATTTACATTTGTTCCACCATCTGCCAAAGGTCTTATTTCTTTGAGGTTCTTATGTCTCATGAGCTCATCAGTAAGGAAATAGAAACTTTTGTTCACAGTTCACAGCCATGTTCTATGGGCATGACTAGGCAATTGTTCTAAGGAGAAGGTATTTAAACCCTTTGTATTATATCTGGTAGCATAGAAATTAAAGACTATTGAGGGTATCCAAGCATAACACTCTAGCTCATATACAACTAAGAAGGGAAAGTTTTCTTTTGGCTTTCTCTTATCTAATATACACATTAAAAAGAACAGAATAATTTATAACAAAGAGAGACTCAGTTGGACATAATTTCCTATAATCTTGTAGTATGTAATTTACTTTCTGAGAAAGGATATTTGGATCCTGTGGTAATTTGCCTAAATTAAATGGCCACAATCTATTAACCCTTTTGTTCTTGTGAGAAGAGGAAAAAACATTACATTAAGCTGTGCTGATGATAGTTGAGATTCTCCCAAGGCCCCTCATTATGATGGGCAATTTTTTTCCTTTTTTAGGAGTTAATGAACACATTGAGTAATTATTTTTGGATTCTCAGAATTCATGGTTATGCTTCTTATGAGCAAACTTCAGAGAACCCAAAGATAGAGATTGTCCCCCTCCCCACCAAAGCCTTTATTTTCTTAATTATATGTTGAGTTTTCTATTTCAGTTTAGTTTTTGTTCCTTGTTCCATATTAATCATTTCCAGGAAATGGTCACCTAAAAACCACAGATGGTTGATGTCAGATAATCTAAAAGGTATAACATTGACATGTAGAGAATTGAAAGCTAATTGTAAGGGGAGTCTACATTTTCAATGAGCAGCCGATTTGATTCTTTTGATGATATTAATTTATGATCATTAGAGTAACAAAGATGAAAAGACATCTTTATAGGATTTGAATGTTGTGGCTGAAGTGAAGCAGGAGTTAGTAATCTGCAAAATGCCCACATTGTCCTCATTAATTCTTTAACATAAATATGTTTCCCCATATTCATACAGATATGAATATGAATCTACAGTTTCAGTTTCAAGCAACTTGTCCTCAAACAGTTTCTTGTGTATGGAAAATGGCAACCAGACTTCAAGACCAACACAAGATCCATCAGGTTGTCTACTTCATTGTATGGCATTCTGTCCAGTGAATTCATAACTGGTCTTTTGGACAAAATATTGGGTTTAGTTAAATGATTTTGGTGAATGAACAGAAGATATTTTCTCTCTTCTGGGATTCTGAGGGGATCACAAGAGGGAGAATAGGAATGTCTAATAATATAGAATATTATCCCTTATTCAATGTATCTATTAAGATTTCCCTGTCTGTTTCTTAAAATGGTTGTTTAAAAATGAGTCAAAGAGGGGTGGAAATGTAGATCAGTGGTAGAGAGCTTGCCTAGCATGCGTAAGACACTGGGTTCAATATCCAATATGTACAGCAAAAAACAAAAAACAAAAAAATGAATCAATGATAACCATCCCAGGACCACTATAGAGTTAATCCTACAAAGAAAAATTACTTTGAAGGATGAATTTATATTCATTATTTGGTCTCTACAATTAGGCAAATAGCAAATAGAGAAAAAAGTTCTAAAGCTTTGTATTATATCACTGATATTCTATAGCTAGGAAAGCAGCAAGTATATTAAAATTTGGAATTACTTTATTCCCTTTCTACTAATGGGGATTTGTTTTTCCATCTCCTTGACCTTCTTTAACAGAGACTTGACTTTACACTTTAGCACAAAACTGCAACAGCATACTGGCCTCTGCTCCTTCATATGCTAAGGGATCTAAATAATCTTCTAGTGACACTTAGTCTGGATATGACTGCTGACTTACCTCAAGCCAGAACTTCTCCTCCTCTGATGGGGACATTTTAATACTGGATTTGTGACAGTGGAAGTTGCAGTAGTCCTGATAGCTGGGAACTTACTGCCATTATGGAATCAGAGTTAAAGACTATCTGTCTCAGAAGAGCTAAGCCAAAGAAGCTACTGAGAAAAAAAGGGAAAACATCACCAGTAGCCTGAACTCACTCTGGCCTTGCAGAAGGCTTGTGCAGGCACTAGTCTGCATTACAGTGGGGGCAGCAAAGCCTCCCCTCTTTGGTGCATCTCCAGGAAAGTGCATTCATTCTTTCATCACTTAACATCTTCAGTTTTGCCCTAGAGTAAGCCTGGGATTTGTCTTTGATCTCTAGATGCAAATCATTGTGCTTATCATTGGGAAAAACAAACAAACAAACAAATCTCCAGAAATGGAGGCTATGATGTTTTGGGACTGGGAATGACTTCGAGGTAGACTTCTCAAAAAACTGCGAGATACAACTATGCTGGGGACCCTGATGTTTGTGAACAACGCCTGGCCAGTTTACAGGAGGTGAAAAGTACCTTGTCTTTCACTCTCCGGAAAACATGACCCTGCAGTGTTTCCTTAAGGCTTGACAGCTTTTTTGTCTTAGAACCAAAATTGCAAAAAGGTAGATCTAAATCTTCAGAGAGCTCTCTTTTTTTGTTTTTTCTTTTGAATTCCTTTGGACCTGGTCTTTATTATTATAATAAGAAGGTGTTGCTCCAAGGATTGGGGTGGTGTTGTTAAAAGATTTTGGTAGTTTCAGTATACAGTAGTCTTCATAGAAAATAAAGTGATTATTTCCCAGTTAAATATTTTTAGTTTTTATAAAGTTATCAGCTGTAGAAAATTCAATCTTGAATGGAACTTGGTTTTAAATAAATGTGATATTGATAAATGTGATATGAATTATGGGGAGATATATTTGTGTATGTGTGTTTTTTATCTACCCAAAGTTGTGTAGGAATGGGATAACACTCATAGCTGTTAACTGGGACCAGTAGTTACTGGTAAACTAAATTTGGGGGGATTGGGGTAAGCCTGATATTTGGTGTTTGCCAAATTCTATATGATGTAAATACTCCCATCAAACTACCCAAAAGAATTGACACTAAATATTGAATTGGGAAAAGGTATATGTAGTCTTTTCTCCCAACCCAAAAGAACAGGTTCCAGCACACCACTTATTCTTGTCCAAACCTAAGCACTCTCACAAAAAAAATGCAATAAGGGTGACCCAATGATTCATTGCTGGCCAAGTAGATAAATTATTGATAAGATGTCATGGGCATATAAGAACTACGAAATGCTTAAAGAAAACTTTGAATTAAGTATCACTAACACTTACTATCCAAGCACTAATGCAATTTTTTTGTTTGTTCATTTTAATGCAGAGTGTGTGAAGGAAGTTAAGTCATTAATGTGGGTATATGTACTGGTAGGAAATATTATACGTGGAATAGGTGAAACCCCCATCATGCCTTTGGGTATTTCCTATATAGAAGATTTTGCCAAATCTGAAAACTCTCCTTTGTATATTGGTAAGTTTAAAAATCTGCCTTAATTCCTTTTCAAGACAGAAGTTCCCTTAGGTTAAAAATTTATTGTCTACATAGAATCTTAGTGATTTCCAGAATGATGAGTAGACTCCCTTGGCATAGTTAGCCATAAGGTTTTTGAATGTGGCAATCAATTATAAACCACTTTGTAAAATCTGCCTTTTCTTTTTTTTTTTTTTAAGGTACTAGGGATTGATCTCAGGGACACTATAGCACTGAGTTACATCCCCTGTCCTTTTTAAATTTTTTTAATTTGAGAAAGAGTTTTTCTAAGTTGCCCAGGATAGCCTTGAACTTGCAATCCTCCTGCCTCACCCTCCTGAGTCATTGGGATTACACGTGTGTATAAGTTTGCCTAGCTGCAAAATCTGCTTTCTACTATTAAAAAGACTACTAATCTAGTGTCCCTCAAGTCCTCTGAATGCTCTATTTCCCTGACACTGCATTCTTTCTAAGAAGATTCTAAGCTCTAAGAAGATTCAAGATCTTTCTCACTACTTTTGCTATTTCAGTTTTTGTTCAGGTTCTCATTGCTTCATAATTTATTATAACTTCTTTGTTGGTCACTTATTTCTATATGCTCTTTTATTAATTTCTTATAAATGTTTTTGCAGTGTAATCTTTCTGAAACATTGTTTTAATCAAGTCTTCTTTACCACCTTCATGATACCTGCTGGCTTCTTGTTTATTAACTCTGATCTCTTACTTATCAATCACAACCCTGATACCCTATGTATAGTTTCCTTGATAATGTCTCTTCATCACAGTCTCCATGTCTTAGGGGATTCTTCATATTTTTTCACAAAAGCAATCTTCATAATTACCTTTTTATATTAATGTATTATCTGGTATAATAGTCAACCCAAGAGCCACTTTCTTATATTTCTCCCAATCTTCTAATATTAATTTGTTATAAATGACTTGCTTATATCCCTTAGCTATTATATCTAGTTGAAAAAATCAAAACTTTGTCTATAGGGTTATTTTCTTATTAATGTAGATTTATCTTTTTATAAACTTAATAACTTTAAGCGAGTGAGAGAAAATAAGAACAGACCTATACATAATCAAGATGGATTAAAATTTTTAAAAACTATGAATCATTACCCCAAATAACTTTTGGAACTTTTTGGAGGTTCACTAACTTTACAATAATCTCTTTCATTATTTTTCTTTTCAATCCTTTTAAATCCCTTCACATACTTCTATTGAAAGATTGCACACACATTTCTAAAATAAATTAGCAAACAGCTTGTTTTAATATGTATTTTAATATTCATAAAATACTATGGTACTGGTTTAGTTGCTTTAGCATCACTGTGACCAAAAGACCTGACAGGAACAACTTAGAGGAGGAAAAGTTCATTTTGGCTCATAGTTCTACAGGTTCAGTCTATGTTCATCCAACTCCATACATGGCTCTGGGCCCAAGGTGAGGCTGAAAATCATGACAGAAAGGCACTGCAGAGGAGAGCACCTCAGGACCTGGCAAGGAGGAAAGAGAAAGTGAGGGAGAGAGGAAGAGAAAGAGAGATGAGGAGGTGGAACACGAGCATGTGCTATGCTCACCAGGGACAAAATATAAGCCCCAAAGTTGAACTTACAGTAACCTACTCCCTCCAGCTACACCCTGTCTACGCACATTTACTTCCCAGTTATTTCATATCAGTGGATTTTCTTTCTTTTTTTTTAAAGAGAGAGAGAAAAAGAGAGAGAAAAGGGAGAGAGAGAGAGAGAATTTTTTAATATTTATTTTTCAGTTTTTGGTGGACACAACATCTTTATTTTATTTTATGTGGTACTGAGGATCGAACCCAGCGCCCCGCGCATGCCAGGCGAGCACGTTACCGCTTGAGCCACATCCCCAGCCCATCAGTGGATTCTCTGACCATTCTTGCACTATCTCACATGTGAGCTTTGGGAGCACACTTCACATCTAAACCATAACATTCCTCCTCTGCACGCACCCAAAGCTCATGTCCATCTCACAGTAAAAAATACATTTAGTTCATTTACATAATTATGTATATAAAAATACATAAGTTCATTTCCATAGTCTTAACAGTTACAGCATTACCCAAAGTCCAAGTCCAAAATCTCATTCGAGACTCTAGCAAACTCTTGATTTTGAGCCAAGATCAAAAGCAAATTGTACCAATATTCAATGGCACAGAGTAAACATTTTCATTTCACAATAGAGAAATGGAGGTATAGAAAGAAGAGATGGGACCAAAACAAATCAAAATCCAGCTGAGCAAACGAGTCCTGTAGCTCCACATCTAGCATCTTGGGAACATGAGATCATGATGTTATACCTGCAAAGGGCATGTATATTTCTTCCCTTGTGGCCTTACTGGTTGCAGTCCACATGGCCTCTCTCTTAGTTATCTCTGTAGGTTCTTGCAGCTTCCTTGACAGATATTCCATATTACTGGCATCTCTTGATCTCAGAGGGGTCTCCTTTGTAGCTTTGGCTTCCTTCTTACATCTTCCTGCATCACCCTTTCAGGGACAGCCCACAGGGACTCTGAATCGGCTACATTTTCCTGGCCTTCCTAGGAAATCTCAGTGGAAACCTCCCTGTCACCATAACTCCAGCATCTCATTCCTGCAGAACTAGGACCATGTGGTTGATGCCAAGGTCTGCCACCACCTTGAGCAGTAGCCAAACCTCTTGGGATGATGGCTTCAGCAGCCTCTGAGTGTTTGGATGACTGAGCACAGTGAAACAACTTCCTAGGCCCCACTGTGCAATCAAGATGCCTCCAGGATCTCTTTTCAAAGGAGATCTTTGAGCCTGTGATAGGCATTGTCTTGTCCATTCCTGAGATGCATTCAAGCTATTGTTTATGGATAAGGTACTTGGTGTCTCTTTAGTGGATGTAATGTCTTAACAATCACAACTTCCTTGGCCTCAGTTTTAGTCACACTTTTCTGGCCAAACTACAAGTTTTTCAAATCTTTCTACTCTGCTTTCTGCTCCTGATTATCACAGTAAACTTAGCTAAAAGCTGCAAGCAATGGCCATACTATCCCCTGAATTCTTTGCTGCCTTGAAATCTCTTCCACCAAATTAATTAGTTTATCATCTTTAAATTGATCCTTACAGGGTGTCCCAGGACATAGACAAAATGTAGATGACAATTTTGCCACATAAGTAGCCTCTAGTCCAATTTCCAATTTAGTCTTCTTTCTCCTCTGAAAGATCCCAGTCTTTACTATCCACAGTCCTATTTAGCATTTTGGTCTTTTGTGCTCCAATTAGAGTCTCCAATTAAGCTCTGCTTACAACATTCTAAATGTTTTATACTTTGCATCTCTAAATTTCTCAAAATTCCTCTCACAGACTCCATAAGGCTTCTGAACCACAAGGTTAGGTTAGTAACAGCAGTGACCTTCCTCCTTGGTATGAATTTCTGTTTTAGTTAGCTTTTCACTGCTATGATTAAAATACCTGACAAGAACAATTTAAAAAAGAAAAGTTTATTTTTGCTCATGGTTTCAGAGGTTCAGTCCACTGTTGGCTGGCTGTACAGCTCTGGGCTTAAGGTGAAGCAGAACTTCATGGCAGAAGGATATTATAGAGGGAAGCAGCTCAGGACATGGCAACCAAGAATAAGAAGAAGGAGAAAGAGGGGAAGGAGGAAGAGGGAGGAGGAGGAGGAGGAGAAAAAAAAAAGAGAGCGGGCAAGCACTGTTTACTGGGGACAAAATATAAACCTCAAAGTCATACCCCTAATGACTTACTTCCTCCAGTCATATATTTCTGCATACAGTTACCACCCAGTTAATCCACTGAAGTGAAATAACCCATCGATTAGGTCAAAGATCACATAATCTGATCATTTGACCTCTGAACATTTTGTACTCTCTCACATATGAGCTTTTGGGGAACACCTCACATCTAAACCACAATAGGTACATAATATGTAAAACTATGATAATTTATCTACATATTAAGATGAATAAGATACATGTCCACAATAAGTTTAGTAAATAAATAACTACATAATTATATCAATGTTATATGTCTGCATGTGTGTATGTACAATGAAATAATTATAAATCTAATACCTAGACATCAATAAAATAGTTCTATGTATAGCTCTGGAGTTTAGGAGAGAATATGAAAGTTAGGTATACAGCATGAGAATCATCTACATAGAGATAATAAATAAAATTAGAAGGGAAAAATGAGGTTGTCATTGGAAGCTCATTTGTATAATGAGAGATCCTAGGGTAAAATATTGGAAATTACTTAGTGGGTAGAATAAGAGGAAGAAAAATCAAAGACAAAGTAGTCATACGGGGAAAAGTAAAGCAATGGATGTACAGTTCTGTGAAGGTTCTAGGAGAAAAATGACAAGAGTTAGTCAGCAATGTCAAATGACAGAGTTAGCAGGATGAAGACCAAGATAGGACACTGGATTAGTGACAAAGAGTTATTACTTATACTGTTTAGTATAATGTGAAGAGATTTGAGCAAGTGAGGAGGAGGTGAGGAAATGGAGATAGAGTATAGGGAAAGGAAATAGAGCAGAGTGCTTTAGAGATAGTGTAACAATCATTGGGTGGGAGGATATGAAATAAGCATAGAATAGGGAATGTTAGGCAGATAAAGACCACAGATAATATAAAAGGGGTTGGTACCGGACAAGTCAGGACTACATGGGGTAGTTGAGCTTCAGCCCTGAGACTGTGGAGAAGGCAGACAAAATGCAGAGACAAAATTTGAAGTAGGCAAAAGAAGTTGAAGAAGCTCCTGCCTGGATTTTCAGTGATCAGGAAGGGATCAGCATACATTCTGAATTGCAGATAAATCAAGAGGTGGCTGCTGATGAATTTTCAATTATTAAGAAGCCAAGTGAGGATATAAGAGACTGATGAAAGTGGAAAATAAGAATGTGGAGGATAAGAAAGGAGACTGTGATAAAATCAATGAGATGTACCATAATAATGAGGGCATATTCTTCCAAGGAATTTTAAATTGAAGATTTGGAGTGATGTTTTTCTGAGGAATATGTATAAAAATTCTTTTTACATGTTATTGCTTTAGAATTTCTTTAAAAATATGGCTATGTAAAGCATCAAAAATATTTTGTTTTTTATCATGGATTTTTCAATAGGATGCCTGTGTGCCTGTGCTGTTAGAGCAAAGCTTTTACTCAGCATAAAAGAGAATTTGGAAGTATTGAGAAATTGCCTTTAAATTATGAGGCTTCTATGTTAGTCAACTTTCTGTTATTTTAACAAGTACCTGAAATAATCAGTGTTTTGGTCAGTTTTTTTTTTGTCACTGTGACCAAAAGACCTGACAAAAAAGAATTTAAGAAGCAGAACTTTATTTTAATTCACAGTTTCAGTCCACAGATGGCCCACACCATTGCTCTGGGCCAAATGTCAGGCAGAACATTATGGCTGAAAGGTATGGAAGAAGAAGGCAGCTCAGGACATGGAAATGAGGAAGCACAGAGAGCTCTGCTCACCCTCAGTAATCTACTTCTCCAACCACACCCTACCTTCCTACATTACCACCCAGTTAATCCATCAGTAGATTAATCTACTGATTAGGTGACACCTCTTATAATCAAGTCATTTGCCTCTGAAAATTCTTGCATTATCTCACACATGAGCTTTTGGGGAGCACCTCATATCTAAACCATACTATCAATTTATAAAGAGAAAAATGATTATTTTGGCTCTCGGTTTCAGAGGTTTCAGTTCATGATCAATTGGCCTTGTTGTTTTGGGGCCTGTAGTGAGGTAACACATGATGCAGAAGCATGTGTGTGAAACTACTTACTTCATGGCCAGGAAGTAAGAGAGAAAGAGGAAGGGACTAGAGTCTCATCACCCCTTTTAGAGCAGGACTCAAATGACCTGAAGATTTTCCAATAGTCCTCACATCTTAAAGGTTGCACCAACTCCTAATCATGCCAAACTTGAGACTAAGCCTCTAACCTATGAAGCTTTAGAGGACATCGCAGATTCAAACAATAGCAGCTTGTTTTTCAACATTTACAAAATCAGTGTTATTTTATATGCACACCAAGTTTATTTTTCTTATAAGCTGAATATCTCAGTCGAAAATATCTATGATAACTGGGATATACCTAAGCAAAAAAGCATTTGCCTAGCATGAGTAAGTCCCTACATTCAACAACTAGCACAACACCTCTCAAAAAAAAATTAAAAAAAAATAAAGGAAAACAATGAAAACTTCAGTCTTTTCATAGAACCAGACTCTATGTGAGTAACTATACTATAACTTTGTATTTTTTGGGTTTTTTTAGGGTTTATAGAAACAGGAGCTATCATCGGTCCTTTGATTGGACTTTTGTTAGCGTCATTCTGTGCAAACATTTATGTAGACACTGGATCTGTGAACACAGGTAATTCAATAAAATCTATTTAAACAGTGTCAGAGTATGCAAAGTATCTTATGAATGTAATTTCATGTAATTGTTGTCCTATTTGACCCTCACAAAGGTAGATTATTTCAAGTTTACATCAGCCAATCAAAGTGGAGTAAATAGTAGAGGAAGATAAAATGCTGATCTTCTGATTCAAAGTCCATTACTCTTTCTGTCATATCTCAGCCATATTTTGGTTTCAAAAGATTTAAGAATATAAGTTTTACTTTCTTGTAATCAAGGGATCACTTGTAGATAATGAAATAGACCTTTCAGTTATTTATTAAGTACCTAGTTATAAATTCTTTATGTGATACGATAGATAATCAAGGCTAATTTATTGCTTTATTATTTATGTCATAGCAGTACACATTGGCAGACAAATCTTTTTAAATTAAATTTATTTTACCTGATACATAAAACAAAAATTATACATACTAATGGGATTCCATGTGATGTTTTGATATATGTAAACAATGTATAATATCTATTTCTCTTTTCTTTAAGAGGAAAACTTTCAAAATCCTTTCTTGTAACTTTTCACAATGTATAGTACACAATCGTTACTTATAATCACCCTACTGTGCAACAGCTCACCAAGACTTCTTGCTTCTAACTTTAACTTCATATCATTGATCAACCTTAGATAAGTTTGTAAATGTCTGAATTGTATGAAAATTTTCTATCTGAATGAACCTGAGAATTATAATTTTAATAATTTTCTGTATTTTATACAAGAGATATGACATAAACTAATATAAATATATACATTTCTTTACAGATGCTCTGACCATAACTCCCACTGACACTCGTTGGGTTGGTGCATGGTGGTTTGGCTTTTTGATCTGTGCAGGAGTGAATGTCCTCACTGCCATTCCTTTTTTCTTTTTGCCCAAAACGCTTCCAAAGGAGGGACTAGAGGGTAATGCTGACATCATTAAAAGTGACAAAGAAGAAAAACAGAGAGGAGAGGTCAAGAAGGAAAAGAATGGAATCACTAAAGGCAAATATAAAAATTTTAAACACCATAATTTACCTTTTATTTTATATAGGTGTTTCTATATTTTAGCTTAGCACTATAATATATTATGCTGCTGATGTATGCTATTAAGATATTTTGTTATTACTGATCACAAGTCAATAATATCTAACTAGTCTGATTCTTCCTGTGCTAATCTTTGAAAACAAATGATATAATTTGAAAGCTGTTTTATCTCAGTCTTTATATAAAAATTGAAATCATTCTTGGAATTCCAAATAAGCAAATATATTTGGTCCTATCTGCTTTAAAACAATCTGTTCTATAGAGAACATAGGTCTAATTAAAAAATGAACAAGTAGAAATTTAAGAACAATAGTAGGAAAAAATATGCACTAATCATAATAGGTAGTATAGTTCTATAACCAAAATTTTAGCTTAACTGTGAGCTTCCTGGAGTTTAAGGCAGAAAAAGGAAACATTATAGATAATATGATTCTTTATATTTGATAAAGGGGTGAATGATAATTTTTAAAGATAAATTATTCCCTCAACAACAAAGTATAAAAGTGTAGAAAAAAAATCATCATATGATGTATGATACAAGTAACATTGAGCAACATAGTGAATTTCAGCGAATGCAAGAGCATAATTAATGTAGCATTTTTAAATATAGATCTTTAATCAAAGTTCAAGGCAAAGTTTTCAAGAAGATGTTTCGGTGGGAAACTCAGTGTAGATAATTTTAGTATGTAGTATTTGTATCCCAAATGTGGCATACATTGGAATCACTTAGGAATTTTAGAATTTACTGATGCTTGAAAGTAGTGCAGTAGTCTCAGGAAGTTTGAGTTAATTCTTAGGGAATGTAGCCTGGGCATTAGATTCTTAAAGAGTATTTATTTGGAAGATGGGTGGTGGTGATGGCGGGGGAGGGGGGGACGCTGTTTCATTATCTGTAAAATGGCAATAATAGCATTACTTTTATTATAGAGTTATTGTATACAGGTGAAAGGAATTTTGGTGCATGTTCCTATTATTATTCCTATTAGTACTAATATTTTCATTGTTGATGTTGTTATTTTACCATAATTCACAAGCTCTTATACAATTTACACATTAATTTTTATTAACAATCACAAATTCACTTGAAGCACAATTAAACACTATTTAATACTTATTGGAAGATTAGAATTAGTTTACAATCTTGAAAATTTTAAGCATCATGATTATAATAACAATTCTTCTAAAAGGGCTAATACAGACTGATAGAGAATATTAACACAGAATAGTTTTTGTGGTTTGCAAGATCAACTTTCAAAACTAGGGAAGAGCTTAGAGTAAGATAAAATATGTTAAATAGGTTTGAACTATCAAGACTCTTCTATTAGGACAGGGATGTCAACAAAAATGGGTGATTTAAAAAGCCCAAAGAGCCGAGTGGCGCACGCCTCTAATACCAGAGGCTCAGAGGGTGAGACAGGAGAATCACCAGTTCAAAGCCAGCCTCAGCAACAGTAAGGTGCTAAGTAACTCAGTGAAACCCTGTCTCCAAATAAAATACAAAAATAGGGCTGAGAATGTGGCTCAGTGGTCATGTACCCTGAGTTCAATCCCCAGACCAAAAAAAAAAAAAAAAGCCCCAAAGAGTTTTGACCACATCTCCCTCCTCTGCATGGACCTTCATGGACCTTATTCTTAAGCAGGAATTCTACAAGTGGGATTTATTTCTTTGCATTCAGCTGTGCTTCCTCCACCAATGGTTTATTTCTTCTACCAAATGGTTTATTTCTTCATACTTCATTCTCGACTCGAGTAAGTTGTAGGCAGTTAATATTAAGTAAACTAGGACAGTACAAAACAAGGAAATTGAGACAGAGAATGTGAAGATAGAAAAAATGAAAAGAAATTAGAATTTGAGCCAAAATAGCTGCAATGTGACTCAACCCATTTACCATAGACAGGCCACAAATTAAGCAGAAAAAAATTTCGGTTAAATCATTTATATTGTCCTTATTATGTACCAAATGAATCAAAATCTATGTGAACAGAGCCTGCATATGGTTTAACAAATATCTCCAGGTAGTTCTAATATACATCCCATTGTGAACTGATGAAACAACCATTGAAATTGTTGTTCTGAAGAAGCAGAAAAATTCCTGGTACTTAAACAAATTTTTATCCCATTAATTCCCATGTCTTCATTTTAAATATTCAGGGAGTGATAGTTTCTATATTTTTGTACATACTTCTTTATCAAAGTGATTTCCTTCCAGATTATGGAGAAAAAGCATCTTCCATTCTAGATGATCTCTAGAGAAGAGAGGATATTAATAGAAGAAAAAAGAAAAGGATAAAAAATATGGTGTGGAATCAGATGCTGTATTTGTCTCTTTTTAAAATTTTTTGTTTTAGTATTTATGGACCTTTATTTTATTCATTTATTTATATGTGGTGCTGAGAGTTGAACCCAGTTCCTCATACATGTGAGGCAAGTGCTCCACCACTGAGCCACAAACCCAGCCCCTATATTTGTCTCTTTAAAATTTTGCTTAAATAATGACTTAGGGAAGGTAAACTATTGTGTTCTAATTCTACCCAGTCAGGTATATCACTGATTTCCAGAAGCCACTCAGCTTATATATTTTCAGCTTACAGGTAGTAAAAAGAATGAACAGATATATGTGCATTACGAAGTATAATTGGGGAGGGAGGTTGATGTTTCAGGAAAACACCTGCCACAAAATGCAAAGCCAAGTTGATCTGACACTATTATTCTTTCATTTCAGATTTTTTACCATTCATGAAAAGTCTCTCCTGCAATCCAATTTACATGCTTTTCATACTTATAAGTGTGTTACAGTTCAATGCATTTGCTAACATGTTCTCCTTTATGCCTAAATATCTGGAACAACAATATGGAAAATCAACTTCTGATGCAATCTTTCTCATTGGTATGTTTGTTTCTCTCTGAGTTATTGGCATACTACCCCCCCCCCCCGCCCCCCATGAAATGGTGAACAATGTGACAAAGGGATTAGGAAACTCCTAAATTGAAGTCTTTTAGGATATTCCTGTCTCTGCTAAATTTTCTCTTTCCACTCTCTAGGAAAATTAAGGAAGTGTATGAAGGGGAAGAGGTCAGAAATTGTCTTTTTTCTCTCTTCTGCTCTCTTTCCACTCAGAATAGAAACTCACAATGTTTATGGAAATCTCGGGAAATGTGAACATTAGTGAATTTTCAGATAGGCAGTTCATTAATTTATAAAGGATTAGAGTTAACTCATTAGGATTCTGTGTTTTACTCTTTTGGCTTAAATTCTTGGATTCCATATTCCTCCTAATGTAGTTCCTTGGTCACCTGATGGTTTTAGATATTTCTGCATCTACATACTTTCTGCCTTTCCTGTAACTACCCTAACCCCAGTGATTCTACTTTGCCTGAATTTTTTCCTGAGATCTTTTTATTCTTCTAAAAAATGACTATCCCAGTCTATGTGTGCCTATATGCCTTGAGTTTTAACACGTTCATCCAAGAATATGATTCAGTGATGCAGATATTATACAAAGCAGCCTAGGGCTGTCTTTCCCTTTTGCTTTTTCCTTTTTTTGTATTGAAGAGGGGACAAAGAGCTGGGAAAGAAGAATGCTGGTTAGCACAGCAAAATATGAAATATAGCCACACTCAACAGTCAAAGCTTCAGCAGAATGACTTTCTAAAGTACCTTGAACTGAGTCAAATTCTTAATAATCAAAGTGGGAGTAAGTAACTGAACTGCCATATATATAAATATATATATACATATGTTATATATATACATATAAGATACTTATATATGTATATATTCCCATCCCACACACTAGAGAGTGATATAATAAATTACTGGTCAACTCGGACTTGCTACTCCTACGTATATCCTAATAAAAGAGACTTTGATCATGATACATGACTATAAGAAATTGAAAACCTATTGTGAATAATTAAATGAATGATAATAATATTTTTTTTAAATATACTTGACATTATGAGTCATTTTGAAATCTCCCTGTACATGATGTGTAACTGAGTAGGGTTAAAATCACCACTACTTCAATCTAAATACTTTCTTATGTAAAACATATTAGGCAAAAATGATAACATATTTGTTCTTTGTTGTTGTTAATTTGTAAATAACATTTTACTTGCATTTATAGGTATTTATAACTTACCTCCAGTATGCATTGGATATATTGCTGGTGGTTTAATTATGAAGAAGTTCAAGATTACCGTTAAACAAGCTGCCCACATAGGATGTTGGTTATCTGTAATTGAGTACCTTCTCTATTTTTTATGTTTTCTTGTGACTTGTGATAATTCTCCAGTTGCTGGCATAACTACCTCTTATGCAGGGTATGTTTTTTTTTTTCCTAGTAAATGCCATATTCTTTCAACAGACTGTTAGTAGCATATTTTCTCTAGTGGTTGTACAAAACCAAATCATTTTTTTAGGAGTTAATGGCAGTGATCCCATGGTCATCCTGCATCTTTCCTTTACCTATCAATTATATACCAATCCATTCAAACTCTAGGTTTATTAAAAAAGTAGTGAACATCACAGGGTGAATGAGTTTATGATTGTGTGTGTATGTGTATAATTGGTAGTCTTTGTGATATCCTAGTGGACATTAAAATGTACATAAAGGAAGCTACCTATAGGTTATATTAGGATTTGTTATCCATATGTTTTATACCCCTGTAAATATTAAAATGAAAAGTTGACTATGCAGTCTAAATAGTCTTTAGATGTTTCCATGGTGGGCTTAATTAGCATTATTGAATCCTAATTCATGGTAAATTAATATATAAATTTATGTACATCACTGATATAGTTATGTCTAAAGTATAAATAGTTTTAGATATTGTATTTTGAGGTTTATCTGGGTTTACAGAAAGATTTTTCCATAGTAATGAGAAATTTTAAAAATTCACTTCAAGTCAAAATGAAATGAAAAGCTTCCTAAAGTGTTCCTTTTAAAGTCATCAAGTATTATAGTATTAAAATAATTTCAAATATAAAATCATAATTTTTGCATATATTATCTGATTTGAATCTTGCAAGCTCTGCTTAACATAAGCATTATTATTTCCATTTTATAGATAAAGAAATGGAAGATTAGAGAAGTTCAAAAAACCTCTTCAACCATATCAGTGTAGAAATGTAGGTTTTAAAATTGGAATGAATCTTAAAGATTGTCTGCATCTCCAATTATGCTGATTCCCAGAGAGAATGTGTGGAAGGCCACACTTTGGTCTAGTCACAGGATTTGAATTCGTTCTCTAGACTCTTATATTAGTTAGTGCATGATCACAATTATAAGTACTGGGTACTAAACCAGAAGAATGCTTTTTTTTTTACTCACGTGACTTTGTTTCTGAAGTAAATGCATTATAAATGGAAATAGCAGGTTTTGATCTTCAAGTTAGCTCTCTCATTATTTTCTCCCACATGGATCAACCTCAGAGATTAGGTCATCTTCATGTTTTAGTTCTAATAATATCCGGAAAATTGCGTCCCATGGGCCTGGGGTTGTGGCTCAGTGCTAGGGCACTTTCTTAGGTGAGGTACTGGGTTTGATCATCAGCACCACATAAAAATAAATAAAATAATTTTGTCCATCTATAACTAAAAAAAAAATTAAATGCATCCCACATGCTAGGCACTTAGTGCTTGTTTATGGATTGTATTTTTCTAAAATAAATCATTGAAAAAGTGGTTTTGTGACACTGCACCTGGTTATCTTTTACACCAGAACTATAGCAGGCAAGTCACACATTGATAGAAGATTTCTTTTTCTATTTTGGTGGAGGGGAGGAAACATAATTGGGGATTAAGATAGAAAGAAGAAAAACAAATCTTGAATAGTGTTTCAGTATCCATGGTATTATTTTAAATCATTTCAGAATACAACAAGATTTATATGTGGGAAATAAAGTCCTTGATGACTGCAATAGAGCTTGCAACTGTCCAACTAAAACATGGGATCCTGTATGTGGCGACAATGATTTATCATATATGTCAGCTTGTCTAGCTGGTTGTGAGACATCCTCTGGAACTGGATTGAACATGGTAACATATCTTATTGGCTTTTTTGACAGAACTTCTTTCTATGTATTGACAATGATTTATCATATATGTCAGCTTGTCTTGCTGGTTGTGAGACATCCTTTGGAACTGGATTGAACATGGTAATACATCCTACTGGCCTTTTTGACAGAACTTCTGTGTATTGTATTAGCATTTTCTAAATTTGAACTGGACCTATATCTGCTAAAAACAAATTTAGTCTTTTCTTAAAACCAGACTTTTTTTATTTGTATAACTTAACTTACCTTCTATATGCACACTTTGTTACCTTTTCACTTCTCAGATCTATGTAACGCCTTCACAGTATCTCAGTACTCATCTGTAATTTTAAGCCAGTTTAGATTATTATTAAAATAATTTGGGTTAAAAATATCCTGGACAGAAAACAATTTATCATTGAGAAAGAAGTTGGTAATTTTGTTCTCAATTTTGTTCTCAAACTGCTGTTTTTTTTCTTCTGTTTTCTGTGTATATTTATGTATGTGCTTTTTGTGTTTTTCACATGAAAACAGTTTTTTTAAAAAACAAGATAGACAGAGTTAGGCATGTCTTCTTGCCTCAAGAATGTTCAACCTTATAAAGTTGGCTGGTGACCAAAGTAAAATACAAATTTTATTATTAATGAGGTCGGGAAACATAATAATTCAAAAAGTGATGACTTTACTCTGTTTTTAAAATAAACTATACTTTGGGAGGACACAGCTTTGTTTATGTGTAGACATTTGAACAATCAAACAGATTTTGTTTTTCTTACTTTGTATTGTGGCAGGTAAGTGTTTGTTTTTTTAAAAGTGTGCATTTAGAATAGCTGAGCTATTGCAAATTTACTTCATGTATTTACATAAAATACCATTTATTTTATTCTTCCCTTCCACTTCCCCATTATAGATCAGCATTCACATATCAGAGAAAACATTTGGCCTTTGGTGTTTTGAAATTGGCAGATTGGGCAGAGGGGAGTAGAGGGAGGGGAGGGGAAGAGGGTGGGAAGGATGGTGGAGCAAGACATACATTATTACCCTATGTACATGTATGATTGCACAAACGGTATGACTGCATCGTGTATTCCCAGAGAAATGAGAAGTTGTGTTTCATTTGTGTATAATTAGTTGAAATGCATTGTTATGTATAACAAATTAGAACAAATTTTTAAAATGTCATATTTTGAAACTATACTTCTATGCTTTGTTTTATGCTATAATCCTGAGAGAGACCATAAAGGAGATGGGAACATAGGGATAAGCATTGTCCATACTTTTTTCCCTTGGTGTGTGTGAGTAGTACAGTCTCACACATGTTAGTCAACTGCTGTACCATTGAGCTATACCCCCAGCCCCAGCAGTCTCCATCTTGATCCAACTGACTACATAAAAAAATTGAGATTTGTGTTCAAAATTCTTAAATATATTCTTAAATAGTATATATTATTTTTGACAGGTGTTCCAAAATTGTAGCTGCATTCGAACATCAGGAAATTCATCTGCAGTTCTTGGGCTTTGTGACAAAGGCCATGACTGCTCCATGATGCTCCAGTACTTTCTAATCTTGTCGACAATTAGCAGTTTTATTTATTCTTTAGCTGCCATACCTGGATATATGGTTCTCCTGAGGTACATTAATTATTTTCTTTATTTGCATTTCTTTCTGGTAATTTATTATAGTAACTTTTTCTAAGTAATTTGAGGCTTATGATATCTAAGAACTCTGTGCTCTAATATACATTTATTAAGGATTTTGCATTAAACATTGTTAAATCTTACAAAATTTTAAAGTTAATAATATGGATGTTCATCTTTTGTTTTTTTTCCCTCTCTATCCTTTGCTAATTTCCTTTCTTATTTCTCAGAATAAGTGGATCTTTCATTGTGTAGTGCAAGATGAGATACATGCCCATTATGAAATGGTTGTTTAGATAGGTAAAAAATAGATGCATAGCAGCCACCTCATTTGGTTTAGCTTACAGGACAGCAGAATTTAAAACTACTAGAAGCCCCCCCTTTTTTTTTTTACCAGGGTCCCTTGATCTTTCTAAGCTCAATTTTTCTTTAATAAAAATGGGCATAAATCGTAAATGCCCAACTCTTTTACAAGGCTACTGTGAGATACAAGTAATGGTTTCCTAAAACTAGGAAACTGCAGAGCCTTGCTCCAAACTTAGGTATATTAAACATGTGCTCTTTCAGTTATAGCATTCTTCATGCCTAATAAACAATCCTGAACACAGTTGCCCACCTGCTCCCCTTTTTCTTGTCTCATTGAAATTCAGAAGCAGAATTAAGTTAATCGTAGTTCATTACGTTTTATCATTATGAACTGGGGCAAGCTTTCTCTCTTGCTTTACTTTATTTATTTATTCATTTGTATTAAATTTCATCTCCTACTTTCACTCACCATAGGCACCCACTTAAGTATGATAGATATGTTTTTTTCAATATGCATTTTCAGTATGCATTTCACTCAGACGGTGGTGCTCTATGCCTTGGTTTGGTTCTTAAAGTACATGCATATATAAAGACACCAAGTACAGCTAGTGCATAAGAGTTGTTCTCATACCATCACTGCTTCAGTGTCCTGCCCCCCACTTTATAGCCTCCCTAACACTTGGAATTATCTAACTTTCTAATGTTGACTGTTCCAGTTGGTGTAAAATAGTGGTTCATTGATGTTTAGTGTGATTTCCTGGTGAGTGAAGTTAAGCATATCTGAACTAATTTTTAGTTATTTAGATTTCTACTTCAAGATGCTGATTCTTTTTTTTTTTTTACCCCATTTTCCTCTCTGCCTTGCTGATTTGGATGGTGACTGTGTAAATTATAATTTATAATATTATATTGATATAATGTAATAAGCAGTATGATATAATTGAAACAATGATATAATTTATATAATGATATGCCTATAATTGATGCGATGACATAATTATCTTTTAGTCTTATGTTTCTTTTAACTTTTCTCTATTTATGAAGTAAAATCCTAAAAATTGCATGTAAGCATAACAACTTTTTTGCCTTATGGTTTGGGTGTATGGTAGTGAGTGGTCACATTTAAAAAGCATTTTCAAATTCTAAATTTATAAAAATATTGCCTTATAGGTTTTATTCTAACAGGTTTAAGATAAAAGCTTTACAGTTTTATTTTTTGCTTATAGTCTTAAAATCATCTTAACTCTATTTTTATATATAGTGCAAGAGAGAAAGGTGCCCAATTCAATTTATCTTCATATAATGAAGTAATTTTACCAATATCACAATCTAAATTACAGGTTCTTTGGTAGTGGTGCCACCTTTATCATATCTTAAGTTTTCACAGCATGGGTATATTTTTCATATATTTTCTGTTTCACAGATTTGCCTATTATTAAATTAGTGTCATATTGATTTAATTGCTTTAGCATTGCAAATGTTAAAATATCATATGGTAACTTCCTTGCCCACCCATCTTGTCACCTTTATTGTGCCTAATCTCTGCCCAAATTGATTTAGCCATTTAGATCTTTATACTTACATATAAATTCTGATTGGGTTTATGAGGGTTCTGCAGATCAGGTGGAGAAAACTGGACATGAAATATTGGTGAACCTGCAATATCAATATCTTTTATGTACTTGAGTAGAATTTTAAAAGATTCTTCATAAAGGTGATATGTCATTAGGTTGCTTCCTAGATACATACACAAATATATAAACTATATACATACTTATGAATTCATATGTATATACTCTGAGAAAAAGTTTCTCTATTCACAGAGAAGCCTTCTGACACCAGACTCTGTTTTTTTTCCCCACAATCATCAATTTTCTGGCACCACCAAGGTGTCCTACAGTTCATTTCAGTTCTGACAATATCAACCTAGAGTTAGCATCAGATCCCAAGAGTTAAAGGGCTCAGTTCCCCCAGACTTCTATTATTTTTTATGAGCATGGAAAATCTGGGGCTCTCAGCCTTTTGACTGACTAGTGATAGGCTGGAGATTCCCATAAACTTTCTTCAGGTTAGAAGACTTACTATAATGGCTTATAGAACTCAGGGAAGCACTTTTATTACATTTACTGGTTTATTATGAAGGAAACTTTTCAACCCCAAGGCTACAAAAACCCCCACACACTGTTTACTAATCTCACAGAAAGAACTTGGAGGACTGAGAAGCGAAGATTCAGACAATTTATTACTTACTCCTTTGGCAGCAGCAGACTTGGAAACAATGAAGGTCTACCCCGTGTTGATAAGAATGGGGAATATATAGAATGGTAACATGCCCGCTGGGTAGACGGAGTTTTTCAGATCTTTTATTAGCATAATCTTTTACTTTACAACCAAGGTCACTCTGCTTTGATCCCTACCTAAAGATTGGAAATAAGGAAAGTGGTTGGTTTTCCTTCTCCTCTTCCTTCATTATCATATTCCTTAGAGTTTTTCTATCTTACAACCAGGAACAAGTCTTCCAGGTACCAATTAGTGTTTACCCCAACATTCCATCCCTTCAGTGCTTTGGAAGCCCCTTAATGAGACCTACTGCCTCCCATCCTCTGCAAAGCCCTCAGGACAGGGATCTGGAAGCATGTTGTTTCTATATCCTACAGCAGCAGTACAAGAAGCAAGAGCCTGTCAGCAATTATGCTAAGGTTATTAAGAGAACATAAAAGATACAGCGCCATGTCAAAGGAAAGGAAGTTAAACAGAGAATGGGTCAACTGAAAGACATCAAGGCATCATTTTTTTTTTTAGACACTAGGGTAAAGTATGGGCAATACTGTGTTCATTACCAGGTATATATCCTCAGCATTCTGTCTCCAAGACTGCACATACTCCATCTTGGGCAACCATTAGCCTAACTAGTGTCATCCTATTTTATAAAACTACCTTTTTTAAAAAATCTGAGTGTTGTCCTCAGTTATCAAGAATATGGCATGTTTAGTCTGACTGACAGTTTGGACAGTGTGGGAGGGTAAAGCTGAGACTTGAGTGTTTCCACCATCATTGCAGCTTATGGAGAAAGAATAGCTAATGGATAGAACCAGCAGGAGGCACAGCATAGCACTGTCTTGTGTGAAGTACCTTGATGTTATCCCCGTCACTATTATACATATTAAAAGAGGCAGAACTAGGGGTGGGCTATAAGGCCATCCCCATGTACACCATCCCGTCCAATTGTAAGATAGGCAAGGTCATCCACAGACCCACGTATCCATAGTGCACCCCATGGCAGGGGGAAAGCCTGTGAGTAACATAGGTTGAGGATATCTGCTGAATTCACTGTTTTTACCCAGAGTCAGGTTATCAGGAACCTATTGGGTGACAAAATGGAATACTGTCTTTTTAACTATAACCTGAATTGCTATATCCCATGAAAGCTCATTCCATACATAAGTATGCCCAGGTACTTGAGAAGTATTCAGTGTCTCTCTAATTAAAGCAAAACCCTTGGTTTAGTATAATTATGTGATGGCCATTTTGTGAGTATTTTCAGTGCAGTTATTTCAACCAAGTCCATTATATCTCATTTGTAAGTTATACTACCCAGGGAAGTCCTTGTGTTGCTGGTCACAGGGAGTTCTTAGCATTCTAATAGTCTGTTTGGAGTAATATGCAATATATGTTGCCCAGTCCAGGAAAACTTGTTGTTAACCTATGGCAAATATGACTAGTATTTAATAGGCACCAAAAATGGCAACATAGCTCCATGAGGCAGAATACAGGCCACTGTACCATAATGTGTTAGTTAAGTAACCAGCACAATAGGCTTGCCTGGGCAAGTACACCAAACCAATCTATTTGCACTTTGGGGGCATAGAAGGAAATATATCTCTGAAATACATAACTGCCATAACTGTACAAAGTGTTACTCCTGAGGGTAATACCCACTGTACTTGTGAGGGCCAAGGTTCCCATCACAATAGGCTTTACTTTAAATTTAGATATTCTCTCTCTCCACAAGGTGTCAGTAGAGTGAACCACTGGGTCCCTACTTGTATAGTCCATGACCAACTAATGCTTCCTGTCTCATATGTGATGTGTTGAGGATTTGGCAATTGTAAGTTGTTGCTCATGCCCCAGAAAAGTTTAAGAATATGTTCAGTAGATGTGTCCTTTATTTGCAATATTAATGCTGGCAGCCACAAGGTGTGTGAACATAAGAAATGACTGCAGGCCCCTGATGTCTGGGTTTTTCATTTAATGTCCTCAGTGACTCAGGCACGTGAATATTCCACCCCACGTAGAGTTATTTTTGATCTTTGTTTTAGTCAGATTTGTGGTCAAAAGACTTGACCAGAACAATTAGTGGAAGAAAAGTTTATTTCAGAGGTCTCAGTTCATAGTTGGCGGACTCCATTGCTCTAGGCCAAAGTGAGACGGAACATCATGGCAAAAGTGTATGGAGGAGAAAAGCAACTCAGACATGGTAATCAGCAAGCAGACATCTCCACTCCTGGGACAAAAATATAAACTCCAAAGTTATGCCCTCAGTGACCTGTCTCCTCTAGCCATACCCTATCTGCCAAAGTTACCACCCAGTTAATCCATTCAAGTGCATTAATGCACTAATTAGGTTAACCCAATTATTTCACCTCTAACTTTTTTGCATTATCTCTCACATGAATTTTGGAGGACAC